CAATGGCAGCCGTCGTCGGGCCCGGGCTCCCTATTTTCCCAGCACTGGCAGAGGTACTAGTGCTTTAAGCTAAACTTCAATTTCTTCCCATGTGCATCACGCAAACAAATTGAACTGAAGGCAAAACTGTGAAATCACAATTGGTAGGAAGCTTTACACCCAAATTGTATTAAAGAATCACACCAGCACACTTCATGAACAACGAGAAAAGGTGCAGAGCCAGAACACACTGGCTATGGCTCCACCCAACCCCCCTCCTTCAGCTGTGAAGATAAGCAGTGCTGCTTTTTTCTTTTTTTTTTTCCTTTTTTTTTTTTGTTGTTGTCAGACCACAAAGATCAAACTGAATGAATTCTGCTCTGTAGCTTGCGACTTTTGCTGGGACATTTTCGCCTGGGCCTACAGTGTCCTCCCAGGCTCTGGCTTCGTGGTCCCACAGAGTCCTATGTCTCCAAGAGTATCTAGCACTATTCCTACTTGGAGGGTCCACGTTTGAGTCTGACTGGCAGCAAACTTGAGAAAACACAAAATAGAACTTGTACTTGCTTCACCCTTGGGTCAGGACTTGGATTCTAATCCACCCGAGCCCAACGAAACAAAGTCAGATAAGTCAATGCAAAGGCTTGCATGCAAGACAGCTTCCCAGGTGAAACACAGAACTGCACTTTCAATTTCAAATACAAGTTCACAGTTGAAGCGGAGGAAGAGGGGTTTATGACTGAATAACGTACTTTTAGTTCACTCGGATCGATCGGCTGGAGTTTGTTCATCCATGAAATAGTGAAGACGTCACCAGGCATGAAGTCAATTTTAACAGCATGTCCGTTCAGGACCATCGAACAATAATGAGTACTGCAAGTTAAGTACCAATGGAGAGGGTCCCACAAGTTCCACAAGTACCAAAGGAGATGAGCCCACAAGTTCCACAAAAGCTGGTCCCACAAGTTCCACAAGTACCAAAGGAGATGATCCCACAAGCTCCACAAAAAAGCAAAGTACCCAGGGAGAAGGTCCCACAAGTATCCTCTCCACTAATGGTGAGGTTAATAGGTGGTGTCATTTTCGGTGAATTTTTCACTGAAACTGCCACATTTCCCTGAATTTTGCTTTTTTTCCTGATTTTGTTTTTGTGTGATATGTATGTGTTTTATGGTATATCTGTATTCGGTTCCGACGTATTCGGACCGTGCCTGACACAGTGGAATTTGTTTACGCTGTGCTTAAAGAAGAGTTGACCATCGTTCTCTTAAGATAAGAAAGGCCTCCTTATCTATCGGTAGCGGTATGCTTGGACGCTGGTTGACCTGATAAAGAAAGCGACCCCTGTGCAGCCCATCTCTGTTTGGCCTAGGCTCGCAATCTACGTGCTTACCCGCCGGCGAACACCATCTCTCTTATTATGTTTGGTGTGCGTTAATTGAAATAGAATAGAAATGGGGGCACAGTTTATTTAAATAAACAGGTCTCTGGAGGACTACAGCGATAGATAGATCGCTGTAGTCTGCTCGCTCTGGCCAGACCTTTCTCTCAGGCATAATTTAATTGATTTCCAAAGGGTACGAAGTCGAGGATGTCGAAGCAGCCAACGACTGCTTAGTTAGCCTCACCCGACCGCCGACGGATTCGTACTGCTCAAGTATGTGATGTGCTCCATCGCATGGAAATCCGGACCGTCAGCCGGTAGACCGCGGGCGGCCCGGATCGGCCAAATCTCACGTACCAAATAGCGATTTCTGTAAGCGTAGGGATTTTCACCCTTCGGATATATATTGTCACACTGTGAATCAGAGCGCGAAGGCGAAAAAAAGCAAAACAAGGAAAAGAAGGAAGGAAGGAAAGCCCCACCTGTTCATCACCTCTTACCTACAAGGCCAGCCACGTGGATGACAGGTTGAGCGCTGGCTGCCCCCATCCCCGTGTGTCACAAGGACCCACTTGCACGCAGCCAAAAGCCAAAGAGGTAAAGAAAAGGAGGAGGAAACCAGACCTCACAAAGGCAAGAGAAAGAGAAAAGGCAAAGAAAAAACAAAGGAAGAAAGCAAATGACACATCCCACAGATAAACCAGTTGCCACTGTCACTACGAAGTTCAACATATTTTTTTCTTTTTTCCTTGTTTCTTGTTTTCTTCCTTTCTGTTATCTGTCCTACAATTAGTGTTGCTCCTGATCGCTTAATTCTATTGACCAGTCAGGAAGAGGAGCCCCCACCCTGGCAGATAGGACAGGCACGATGAGGATGACGTGGATGTTCACAAAGATACCCAAGGAGAGCTACTTCAGCACAGCATTCAGCAGGACGGCTAGCACGGACCGTCCCATCCAAACAGTCCTGACAAAGGACATGCTGTCCACATGTCAAAAAAACAGCAGGACGTTCAACACAGTGCGGCATCATGCAGTCCTGATAGCGTCCTTGAGCACAAAAGGGACAGTGAATATCTGGTGATAGGGATGTGCACAATGTGGAAATGTTGGACACCTTTCAGCACAGACGGCGGCAGGAGGAGGAGCGGGAGGAGGAGCGGGAGGAGGAGCGGGAGGATGAGCGGGAGGATGAGCGGGAGGAGGAGCGGGAGGATGAGAGGAGGCGCAGGAGGAGGAGCGGGAGGAGGAGCGGGAAGGGAAACGGGGAGAGGGTTACCGAACGCGCGGGAGGCGGAGGAGAGGGAGGAGGTACAGGTGGAAGAGGAGAAGCGGGAGGGGCGGGAAGAGGAGCGGGAGGAGCGGGAGGAGGAACTGGAGGAAGAGCAGGAGAAGCAGCGGGAGGGGGAG